CTCCTCTTCTGCTCTAGCAGGTGCCGAGCATCTGTGAACGTTTGCTTTGACCCGTCCGCCTGAATATGACGAACCGGTTTCCTATTTCCCGTAGGATAACGGAGTTTTGTGAAATCAAGAGCAGACGGCTCCCGCTTCTTAGATTTAGGATGGGGAGTCGCCTCTCGCCCTTGAACTGACTTCCTCTTCAGTGAAGTGGAAGGTTTTTTGGCCGCCTGCTCTTTGACTGAAGCAGGCGGTTTTTTGTTGATCAACTCTTGGATCTCTCCCTTGAATCCCCTCATGAAGGTCATGAGTTCGTTCCTTGTGATGGGAGCAGACCCATCAGTCGGCTGTTGCCGAGCAAGCGGTGCGCCTGCTGGCTCGCTTCCTGTTTGAAGATACTCCCGTTCCCTTATTTCAGTATGACGGGTACGGCGGGCCCTTAGGGTCCCGTCTGGAGCTGTATGAGTTTCAACTTCAAATTCACTTTCGGTATCATGGTCCGACTGAACTTGAGGGTCGTCTAGGGGACGCCTCTCTTCTGGGGTCGGTACAGACTTGGATGCCATCTCTGAAGTACTCTCCCCACAGACGGCGCCAAATGTTTCGGGGTTTTCTGATGTCCTGCGGGAGAGCTACAATTCCGAGACTGGAACCGGACGCCTGTACCTGCAAAATAACGGAGACTCCTGAGAGCTCCGCCTCCAACGGTCAAGTTAGTACCTGATTAAGGAGTAATTAATACAGAAATCAAAGTAATAAGGTCTCTCTAGGTGAGAGTATTTAATGTAGGTAATCTGCTTTGCTAGCGAGATCAGCCGGTTATTAGTGTGTTCCGTAATGTATTCGGTCCCCTGATTAATGAGGATTAATCGAGTATTTATAGCCTTGGGAAGCGTGCAACTCTCTAGGTTTAAGGTAAACCTAGGGCCGATCGGGCTTCTAGACTGAAATGGGCCTTGATGGCCGGTTGTCCCATTTGGCATGGGTGGACACGTGGCGTGTCTTAAGTGGTCCGTGGAGGACGCGTGGCGGAACCTGGTTGGTCCACTTGTCAAACGGCGCTTGGTGGATAAAAATCCCCTAATCAAAAGGTATGTTGATATCAAGTACAATCCAAACCATGCAAGCTTCAGCAATTAAGTGGCGCATATTCCCAGCTGCAAGTGAATGTAATAAACGAATCATCAGCAACAATTCAAACTCACATGTGGCATCAGCAAAGCATATGCAGTTTTTGTGATAATAGATCACTAGTAGATATTCTGTCTGTATTGTTGGACGTTTTTATATATATATATATATATATATATATATATATATATATGCTTCTAAGCAATTTGATTTAATCCATTTTACAGTGGACAATCAATGTATACTGACACCCACACAATCAAGTTGAGCCAATCATGTAACAGCTCTAATTAGCTCTAAGAATTGTTTATTGATCAAGAATGTATCATACAAAGCCACATAATTTGTTTAAATGAATTACTTTACATATTTCTATTATAATAGAATTAGTCATTAATCAAAGTATCAATTCTCTTATTTCATTGGTAAAAGTATACCTTGGTAAAAGTTAGGCCAAGGTATTAAGCTATGTAAACCCATGAATAGCAGAATTGTACTGGTATGCTACACTTGAAATTCCTGACAATATAGTCGGGGAAAAAAAAAAAAGGTAGCACTTTATTAGTTGCTAAACATGTGGTGGAACCTCAAAATGTAGTTCTTCATTCATCTATGACTCCAAAATTCAGATAGAAAACACATATTAGATTGAGCTCAGCTTGTATTCTCTTATAGTACAAGGCAATTGGAAACTGTCTAGATTTGATCTGTATATTATATTTGAATTCTGCTCATATTTAAGTAATACAATGTTCTATTTGAATTCTGCCCATAATTATTCATGATGTTGAGCTAAGGTATCCAAATCCTCGAATTCTGGCTACCTTGATTCAAGTTCAAAACAGGCCTAATTCAGAAATTTTGAAGCAAAATCCAGTACAGAGTCAAATTAACCATGCACATATGTCAGACTAGAAGTACACTTTTCAACAGTCAAGAAAGTCATGTAGATGTCGATTTAGCATGATCAGAAGCAATCTATCAAGCAGTTAGCTCCAAGTTTCAGAAAAAAGAAACAAATAGAAGAAAAAGAAACTCAGAACCAACCTCTATAGTGGGGGCAATAGCATTTGAGCCACTATTTCCTCCCTTCCCAACATCAAGATGAACTGAGATGTTAGCCAGTGACAAATCCACCTCAGATGTCTGTAGCTCCAGGGTTAGTCGCTTAAGCAGTCTGCTCAACACCAAAAGTCGGACATATAGAATCAAAGTCAGTATCTTAAACCAGGAAGCATTCTTCATACTTTATGTAAAATCAGCTAAAATCAAACACTAATTTGAACACTAAATCTCTGAAATTCGAAATTTAAAATCGAACTATAGATCCGAAAAAATAAGCAAAAATCGAAGCCTACATTTGCAAAAATGGAACTCAAAAAAATCAAACTCCGCAAAAATCAGCTAAAATCAAACACTAATTTGAACACTAAATCTCTGAAATTCGAAATCTAAAATAGAACTATAGATCCGCAAAAATAAGCCAAAATCGAAGCCTGTATTTGCAAAAATCGAACTACAAAAATAAATCAAACTTCATGCGAAACTCTTAAAATCAAATCAGAAAAAATCGAACTCATGCAAAATTCATGAAAATTGAACAGAAAGAACACAAATATCAAATCACAAAAATCGCTGAAAATTCGTGAAAAAACAAACAAATTGTCGAATATAATCATACCTGATTGTGAAATCTAGAGATTTTTCGCCATAATTTGATGCAACACAGTAGAGAGAGTAACAGAGAAGCTGGTTGAAGAGAGAGAAAGTACGAAAGAGGAGAGAATAGAAAGGAGAGAGAAAATAACGTGAAAATTAAGGAGAAGAGAGAAATTCATGTCTGAAAAGAGGAAAGAAATCTCAGCCATACAATTTGATGAACGGCTGAGATTAAAAGTTTTCAGTTTTTATTTTAACACTTGTTTTTACCTGATCCTATTCCTATATATATATATATATATATATATATATTTATATATATTGGACCAATTATATGTTAACATGTGGCATTGTAGGTTTCCCTAACGGTTTTCATCCATAAACCGGTTAAGTGGTGGTAAAAGCCATTTTTTGGGTTTTTTTTTTTTTTTTTTTTGGTGTTAAAATAAAAGTTTTTTTTTTTTTTTTGTAGTGTTAAAAACCAATTTTTGATTTTTTGTGTGGTGTTAAAAATCAAAATTTCCTATATTTTATATTTATTTTTTTTAGAAAAAGAAAAAATTAAGGAATTTTTATTTTTACCACCTCTAAAAAACAACTTAATTGCTTTAACCATCTCCATAAAAAAAAGTTTATTTTACCACCACATAAAAAAAAAATGAAAATTGACTTTTACCACCAATCACTGCCAACTAATGGATTCTGTCCATAAATCCGTTAGTGGGGCATATCATGTCCACGTGTCACCATATTATTGGGTAAAAAAATAAATAAATAAACAAATAAAAAATAAAACCCAATAATATGGTGACACGTGGACATGGTAGGCCCCACTAATCGATTTATGGACGGAATCCGTTAGTTGGAGGTAATTGGTGGTAAAAGCCAATTTTTTGTTTTTTTTTTTATGTGGTGGTAAAATAAAGCTTTTTTTTATGGAGGTGGTAAAAACAAATTTTTAGTTTTTTGTAGGTGGTAAAAGTCAAAATAACCAAAAATTAATGACTTTTTATCCCCTTTCCTTCTTCCTTATCCTTTTCCCCTCCTTCCTCCATATTTTCCGACTATGCAGCCGGCAGCCCAATACTCCCCTTGCAACTAGCCACCCCACCCCGGAAACACCTTAACCCAGCCACACCCACCCTTATAACAGCCTACCCCAGCCACACCCACCCTCGAAACACTAAAACCCAGCCACACTCACTCTTATAACAGCCTACCCCAACCACGGAGCCACCCCCACCCCCGAAACACCATACCTCAGCCTACCCCAGCCCAACTCTCCCCATCTTGAAACGCCCCACCCTAACAAAGGCGCATCTTACTCTACAAATTGGAGCATCAATAATTGAAGTTGTTATGTCAAATTGCTAGATTAGAGGCCAGAATTTTGCTTTTATGGGGCCGAATTGCTTATTGCAGGTGGTTTGAAGGTCGAATTGTTGCCGTCGATAGGTGCGGATTGGAGTTTAAGGACTACGAAATGGTTGCGTGATGCTGCATTGTTGAGTGACGATGGCTCATGCAACAATGGTGTGGATGTTGGTGGCGTGATTGTTAGTGAGTGAGCAGGGAATAACGAGGGCAAAGGGATTGCATGTTGTTCGTGCCTGGTGGTTGGAAATGAAGGGGGACTGGTGGTTGGTGAAAGAAAGGTTGGTGTGTGGCCAAGAAAATAAAAACAAATAAATAATAATTAAAAAAAAAAAACTCTTACCCGAAGAACAAGTTACCGGTCATAAGGGACCATTAAAAGAAGATATCCCCCCAGAGGTGGGATTATTAGATAATAATCAAAAGGTAGAATTATTATCAACGAACCGGCCTGGGATAATTAAAATAAATTTTTCCTTTGTTTTTTTCAATTTTGTTTTTTCAAAATCATATATCTACCAGACCATGATAACTGTTACTTGGTCTCTTACGATTACACCATTTCCATTCATGCAATCTCAACCAAAACTATATTTTAATTGGGAAATGATTTTAGCACACCAAAAATGATTTTGGCACACCTCTATGTGAGAGTATAATTTTCTATGCTCTTCTAGCTTTGGGTGTGTCAAAATCAATTAAGGGTGTGTCAAAATCAATTTCCATTTTAATTTCATGATTCAAAGTTTCAAACCAAGTAGACCCCTAAATCCATCAATGTGTTTCGGCTCAGATGGTATGGAGACTGGAGAGTATTGTATTTGCATGATTTAGTAAGTGGAAAAGTCAAATAAACGAACAAAATCACATCTTGATGATTCAAAGATATCAGAGAAAATCATTCCATGGTAAGTAATTATCTGCATCCTGTGAACCTATCCAGCCTTCATGTACTGTTATTTGTAAATTTGGTATGCTAAAAGGCATAAAAGAAATCAATTAGTAACAAAATAAATCCTCTGGGAACAGATAAAATAAGCCGAAACAGTATACAGCAGGCCAAATGAGGCTGAAAACTCTCTCCTCTTGGATTAAATTTCGTATACACACAAGGGCAAAGCCATCTGCAGGATTTGAGACAATATACCCCTGATCTTTGAAAACCCGAGCTTCCATCCGACTGTGCCCAAGAGTTGCAATTCGGAGAAGAGGCACACAAGCAAGAATTTGGCCCAAAACTTATGAAGATTCATAAATACGAACCCAGACCTCGTAATTTATCTTGGAACGTCAAGAATTAGTCTTCAAATCAACTATACGATTGTGGTCCTCTAATCTCTCTATCCATCTTCATTCTCTTTGCACTCTGCATTTCTGAAATACTACTAACCCGTTGCTGGAGCGACATGTCATGCTGATACATACAATTTGCTCCATGTTTACAACCCTTTGCACCATTGAAATACACACAAGGCTTCATGCTTTTATGTTTGGCATCTCTTGGTTTTGAATTATCTACATCTTGATCTACACCTGTATGATGAATGGGATTCGTTGAATACGGTGGTTGAGGGTCAGCTTGCCTTTCCCCTCCATGTTGCTGAATCAAGTTCTTATAGTAGTTGAGGTCCTTCACTTGAGAGGAAGAACCAGATTGTACAGGGGGAGCTTGGAGGGCGACTCCAGGCAGCGGTGGGACTGAATGCTGATGGGTCATAGGTCCTGTGCCATTTGTATACGGGTACATAAACCCATTTGACATCATTGCAGACGAGGATAGTCCTGTTTCCATATTGGTATATTGAGGAGCCGGAGGAGGTGGTGTATCCATCCTGTACATGGGAGCTCCAGGAGATAAGGGACTAGAAATAGTATGTGGGCCTTCCATTGGCTTTGGCAAAACAGATTGAAGTCCCGTGCCTGGACCTTGATGCCTAACTAACTGTTCTAAAATAGTCGGATTACTGAGAATTTTTACAAGCAGGTTGTGGTCAATCTGCTCATTGCCCTTCGCGACAGCAGCAAGAGCAGCTTTTAACACATCTTCTTGACCAGAAGTTGCTACTCCAGCAGCCAATGTCCCACTGTTGATATTATGGGACACACCATGAGATGAAGACGTCCCTTGGGCCGCCAACATGTATGAGCTAGTAGTAGCACAAGCAGAAGCAACAGAATCAGAAGAGGGATCTGACAGATCTTCTTCTTCAATAGGAGTAATGGGAACTGAAGGCAATGTTTGGTCATCCTGTCCAGCACACTCTATATCTGGCGCAGAAGCAGGGCTGCAAAGAATAACAAATGACATGGATTAGTAGGTACATAAGACCCAAGACAAAGAGCTAAACAATGTTTTAAGGTATAGATTCAAACTTTGGAGGAATTGCAGATTGGCGTGGATAATACGCTTCAAGCACTCTTAATTCTCTTTGACTTTGGATCTCCACCTCTTTACTCTCCTCCCCACTTACTACTTGCCACTCAACCCCCAAAGTAAACTGCAAAACTCCAATACAAAATAAAATTAGCTTCTGTGTTACATTGCCAAAGTGGAAAGCATAGAAGGCATCATGGACATGGTGGATGGCACAGCATGCAAATCCCCGGCCAAATAAAATGAAAGCTAAAAGAAAGGAGGACAGACAGATAATTAATTATCAAAACAAATGCATAAGCAGATAAGGTCACTGGCTACATTAAAGATGAAGCTGCAAGCAAATCATAGAAAGGTATTCCAAGACTAATAGCCACTTACTTTTGGAGGGGACCGCCATTTGACAACAGGAATCTGGGCTAACCTGTTCTTCAATTGATTAGCAGGACTGAAACCTTCAAATCCAGGTGGAAGGTTGTCATCTGTCACTAATCCATTTACAGGCAAGCCTGATACAATTTTCTTTACTTGAAGGTGATCTTGTGCACCTGCCCCAACTTGTGAGGGAGATTCTTCCGAGAGAAACAGTCTAACCTGTTCAAATCAAAACATCATACCTATGTTAATCATTCTTGTCATCCCTCAACAAATCCTTGTCATATTCATAAACTAATGTAATAGAAGATAAATTAGGATCATTATAAAAAAAATTGTATCTTGCTTTAGCAGATGCTAAGTTGCAAAGTGAGTGGCTCACAAATCATGATCAACGTACAAAACATCTTTCATGCTCCCCTTAATTAGTCGTAACCTCAAATCATGTCTAAGAGAGCTCAATGACTCATAATGCAAAATAAAGAAAGCACCACAACATTCAATATACTGCAATATTTCAAGCTATATAAATGTGCATAACATAGTTATTTGGGTCCATTCAGCAGCTATCCCAACTCCCATTCCCTCCTCAGTATGCATTGACCAAATACCACATCACTAAGGCTGAAAGATGAGAACTAGATGTCTCACAGCCAATTACAGCTCGCTTGGATAACTTTTAAAAGGAAAAAGAAGATGAGAGAAGGTAGAGGAACTATTAAAAGAAAACCAAAAAAAGGAGAGAAAGGTATACTATCAACATCTCTGAATCCATATCATCAAAACAGAAGCCAAAAAAATTAAGGCAGAAAATCTACCATACAAGGCAGATTGCAACTTTGTGATTACAATAATATTCTAATGTCTTATCTGTCAACAAAACTGAAATCATAACTTAGATGATACAAGATGATAAGTTCCGATCAAACATACTGATAAAAATGCACGCAGTTTTAGCAGATCATAAACTTTATCAATTTTTCAACAAATAAAAACAAAGAAGCAAGCGAGTGAGAGTCATTAAGGTGAAGAAAGAAGGTAAACCTTTTTAGAGTTATTAGGGGGGGTTTTCCATCTACAAGAGAGAGGGGAGGGGAGGGGAAGAGGAGAGAGCATTAGGCCGGTTGTCATAACTGGCTGGGTTTGACTAGTAAGGATATTTTGGTCTTTTTACTTTTATTCAGGATTACTTCGTATATACTTTTCCTTCCAAATCCCTCCAATTTTAAAAACTGATTTGTTAAAGAATGAAGGGTCGCAAGTCACTCCTTAAGTCCTAATCCCTCCCATCCATTTCATCCACCTCCTCATTTGCTAACCCAACAAAGAAAAATTCATCTCACTTTCCTGTCCCTCCAAATCACCCTATCCAAACATAATGCTAATGTGTATACTGCAAGTAGGCAACATCTTCTCAGAGTTCTCACTTCTTCAACAGTAAACGACTAAAATGCACTTTTGTAATAAGCTGGGATAATATGAAACTACGAATTATAAATACCAAAATCTAGCAACACAGATAAGATTTTGTCACACCACATCAGTGGTAAATGGAGAATCTCCATCTTAGGTGTAAGGATTGGCATTTCACTTTGAGGCAGTGCAAAAAAGGGTGCAAGGTGCAATAATTACAATGTCCTTAATTTATATTGGTTTCTTCCATATTTTTCCAATCACACATGACAATATTCAAGTTAACTTAATTACTTTTTTCCTTTTTTTTTATTGGTAACATTAATAAATACTTCCTCTGTTCTTTTTTACTTGACCTGTTGCTTTTATCACGTTTGCCAATGCAAAACTTTAACGATCAATAACTTTAATTCTCCATAATTAAAAAATATAAAATTTATATATTATGATAGTACTTATTGAGACAAATTCAAAATGATCCAATATAAATATGTTTTTCCTTACATATTATTCACAAAACACGGTCAAAGGAGGGATGGTAAATAGTGTAAAAGTCAAAGCGGGTCAAGTAAAAAAGAACAGAGGAAGTACTTAATAAATAAAAATCATAAAAAGTTAACATCTAGAAACTATACATCAAGACAAATCAAATAAGATCTTACTTGACTATATTTTTTTTCCTGGAGTATAAATGACAAAAGGTGGTCAAAGGGTGGTGTTTAGATAATTGTAAAATTCCAAATATTTCAAAATTTGTAGACCAGGGTTAGTATTTACTAAAAAGATGTCAAAATTAAGAAAACAAAGGAACTTATTATGATCATGTTATAACCGACATCATTAAGCAGTATCAGGTTGCCCAAAATCAATCAGCTTGAATAAATATAAAGGAGAATTAAAGACCAAGTCACCAAGACAACAATTACATGCTTGTTTTGTCAATGGCAGGAAGCATGTTAAGATATATAAATAGGATAGGTTATCCTTTTGCAGCTTGTCTTTGTGATATATGTGGCTGCTTTATTAATACTTGAATAGGAATAGGAAAACAAATGAAAAATATTGACTAAAGGTTTTCAGTCTTTCACAATACTACTATTCAAAAAACATAAAAATAAAAAGTTAAGACTATTACTAATCTTTTTCAGTCTAGGAATTCAAAAAAAAAAGTTAAGCCCAAGGGTAAGAACATATAAAAACCTAACAAGAATGAAAAATGAAGCAATTGCGAGAAAGAAAAACAAATAGCAGATGCAAATTAGAGGAAGAAATAGAATAGGGAAGGGGCCATATCTTGAGATTAAAAGAGGAACTATAACAAAGGAGGTGGCACTGAAATTTACATACACATCAGTATCCATCAAATATATTTATAATTATGGATTGATTCAAATCAATAAGTTTTGCAGGATAAATTGATTTGCATAACATAAATGATGGAGAAAAGTTATAATTTTATACCATATATACATCAGAAGAGAGGGGAAAAAAATGCAATCAATACATGTATAAACAGGAAAAAATTAAGAAGGCAGATGAAGGAATATCTCGAGGAAGTGTAACCAAGACGCTCATGTTCATATTTTAGTTTAAAACAACCCTCTATATACACTTCCTCCATTTCTTTTTACTTGCAACAAATTGACTTATGTACTCTCACATACACTACTTAGCTTTGATGATGTATAATTAATGAAAAATGTAGTTAATGTGGGATCTTGTAAGATTCGCCTCTACTTGTAATTTCATAGTATCAAATCTTATAATTATTACTTAATTGATATTTAAAGATATTCACGATTGAAATAATGCATTGGCAAACATGAAATTAAAAGTGCTACAAGTAAACACAGAAATTATTTTATTCCCAAAGGTGCAGTTACATACTGCTATCAACACAATTGTGAAGCCAAAATAACTCTTAACACAACCATAACTTTCCTTCATTACTTAAACTCTTATTACCATTATTGGCTTTGAATATTAAATGCCCATCAAAACAAATCACCAAAATATTAAAAAATAAGAAGATAAAGAGGCATCAAGCTTGTTCATCCTCTGTTGTAAAGGAATAGAATCATACTGAAGATGTATCTAACAAATGTAAAAAAATAGTTAAAATGAAAATATTCTCCAATATAAGAGCATCTCAATTTTTCTCAAACTATCACAAAATCCTATAGCAACAATATATTTGATAGGTGACAAGAAAAGAGCATATAAAGCAGAAATTAGATATGTAAGATATCTACAGGCAGCATTTCTTTTTTGTAAAGTTTCAACAAATATTCATGTAAACTCAGGAACATAAGCTGTGTGTTACAGGGTTACATCTGAGTATGAAATATATGCACTATGATATGCAGGCAAGTATATTAGAGATACTGATTTACTGTGACCACCAACCATCACTTATAGAGCCTAAGAATTAGCATAAATATGGCCCAATAATGGCCTAAAAGCATGGCCTTCAATAATCAGAGAATATGACTTTAGCTCTTCTCCTTGCACAGTTACACTAAGTAATCACACAGAGGTAATGATCATCTGTATAAGAAACGCTAATTGAAACATAATTTTCATCACCCTATATCTTGAGCCTACACAACAAAGCCCATTAGAGATACGACTAGATTCAAGCAATCATCTATCATACTATAGCTAGGAATGTAAAAATAATCACCTAAACACTTAAAATTTACAGATAAGAATAATAGTGACAATAAAAAACTGAAACAAAATACAAAAAGCAAACCTAATAAACACAACAAAACAATTCATTCTCATTAGGCATTGCCAACAATCGGGTATGAATTCGGATAGCAAAGCATTACACCCTGCCAAAAGAGAAATCAACTAGTACATGATGATAAAAATCAAACGTCAACATAATTACACAAGTCACTAACTTCGGACATAAGATTTTTTTTCCTCGTTTTTTTTACCTACATCAGCACCAATGAATTTCGAGAATCCATCATGAATCAGTTTATGACAATGCAAATATTGGAGTAAAAAGCCTCAAATATTCTGCAAAAGGTAATCTTGCATACTCTGAAATCTTCTCTAATACATATAGGAAGTCTATCAACAGTCAAACATCAGCATAACAATAAGCGGAAGAAAAATCCAAGCCTTGCTTTTACTTTTCAGAATCAACTCAAACCTATGGAAAATCAAATTTACAATCAACAGGACTCAATAAAAAGAAATCTTCAGTTCTGGAAAACATGCAATGCGACATTATCTAGCAATCCCATGCTACATATAAAACCACTTATACGAAATTTACATGCATATATATCAGAATTTGTAATCAAATTCAACTTCTATTGACAAACTCAAACTTTGTGTAAGCTATTTTAGCAAACTTAGCAAAGTAAATGTAACTTCTCATAATCCATTGGAGTCCAAGATAGTCTTTAATTTAGTGAAAAAGTTCACTAACACAGCATAATCCATCTATACAACAGATAAATCAAAGATTGTATCTTTTTTATTTTCAAATCATTAATTAATTCGCAAGATAATTCAAAGATTGATTCTTACTTTCAGATTAATTAAAGAAAAATAAAACCCAGAAATGTATTTCATGTATTTCTTTGTTTTTTGAGACTTTATTTCATGTATTTCTTTGTTTTTTGAGACTTTGAGTTAATCCCCAATTACACATACTCCATTAATTCAATAGATTCTCAATTACCCAGAAATTTCACTTTACTTCAAATAAATTAAAAGTGTTATTTTATTTCGGTTCAATTGAATTTGATTCTTGGGCGTCCGAAATAATTAATTGCACAGATTTGATGGGAAAAATTTGAAATTTTCATCTGGGCATAGAATAAATTTCGATTAATGTTAAATACCTGACAAAGATTCCCATCAGAAGCCCAAGAAACCCTTTTTGATTTTTGCGATCCTTGCATACTAAAAATTAACTGAACCCTAAATCTGAAATATATAAATTTGAGTAAAAACGAAGAACTAAATCTGGAATTTGAAAGAATAAAAGACAACCATTGAATTGATTTACCTAAGAAACAGTGAGTTCTGGAATTCGATTTTCTGGAAAAAAAAAAGTTTTATAAATAAACACGAAAATCCTCAAAGTTGGAGGAAGGAAAAAGGGCGAATGAAGATGGAGAGAAAAAGACCCAATTGTTAAATATGGATTACTTGACAATTTATGACTGCTTATATAAATTTGTTACAATTTCTTAAATACCAAAAAAAAAAAAAAAATCAAATTATTTCGAAAAAAAAACAAATTATATATTTATTGTCTTCTTCAAATTCAATATTGATATCGATTCTAAATTTTACTTGTGCATTGTCATTAAAAAAGCGAAAAGAAAATAGAGATTGTTATTGTTGTTCTCAAATTATGATAATTTAGGGTTTGTAATCTTATAATACGCTTTATTTCTTATCATCTATTAATAGTTATCTCGATTATATAAAAGCATGAGTCCATCTAGGCGCATAGTCCCTATTTACAAAGATTGTAAATAGGAGGGTATAGCAGTAAATTCGGTTGGCTGACTGAATAAAAGCAATATGTTTTCTTTTATTTTAAGTGTTGACTTTATTATTGACTCCATTATTTTTTGAATTGTAACGGGCATTTGAAAAATTGTAATTCACCTTTTGCATTCTCTCTCTCTTTCATTTAATTATTTCTCTCTCTTGCTTCTCTCTCTTAAGTTCTCTGGTTTGTTCTCCTCTTTCGTCCTCCGTCGTTTGCGCTTGAAGGGCTTCATCAGAGCATACCGTCGGCTTTTGTTAGTTGAAGTGAAGTGGTGAATTCCCATCTTCCTAGGTAAGTCGTTGAATTGTGCATTTTGTGGGCTTTGTGTAATTTGTGTGGGTGTTTAACGTGGTCGGTGGTAGGGTTTGAGTTAGTATGAATTTGCGTTTGCGAGTGTTTTTCATGTAATTGTTGGCAAAATTGAGCCGAATTAAATGTTTGTTGCGATTTTTACCTTTTAATTTTGGGAATTGCAGGTCAATTAGGGTTTGTGGTTAGTTTCCGCTAATGTCAATTGTGGCGATATTGTTTAGTGTAATATGGTTTTTTAGTCTTATTACCTTCGAACTCTGGGAAAATCTGATCACCTAGGGTTTGTGATTAGCGTTTAACTGAAAAAAATTGAAGTGTGATGTGGATGTTAGTTGGATGCGTTTTACACTCTGTTATTTAGTTATTCATGCATGAGGAGGTTGAGTTTATATATCGAATGAATATTGAGCTGAGTATGTTAAAATTATGGTCTTATTAGTAGGGTAATGATGTCCTCCCTTTATTCTAGAACTTAGCAGTTTGGAATTTCTTTTTAGAGGTATTGGTTAATTTAGGACGAATTCAGTGTGTAAATGAAGGTTATTGATTCCATTGGTTGTGTAAAAATGGATGAGTAATTAAGTACTTGTGGCAGGATTGGATAATGACTAAGAGGAAATCTTCTGAAGCCGGTGGAAGTGGTATTGTTCGTAGAAAGGATGTGGTGAGTTGATGTGTTTGTGTTGATTGTGTTTTTTTGTTTGTTTACGGTTTATGTGTATGTAATTGCTGTCAATTTCTGTAATTTTTTTGTGTTGTAGGCGAAATCAGTGAAGGTGAATCATGGGGTTAAACCCAAAGGTACTAATAAAGGCAAGAAGAAGGTAAATGTTGATTCTGATGCAGATCCTGATTTTGAGTAAGAGGAATTGGGGGATACCAGTAGTGAGGAGGGCTCTGAAGAGAAACAATCTGATGAAGAGGATGATTCAGACGCATCAGATGGCGAGGGAGACGGTGGTGAGGATGGGGAAGAAAAGGATGATACTCCTCCTTCTGGTCTACAAAATGACAAGCTGCAGGAACTCTGTTTGCAGTTGCTGCAGGAACGACTTCAAAAAAGGAAAGAGGAAGGGTGGCAAATCAGTAAACAAAACAGCCAAAAAGGCGAAGGTAATGGTTGTGACTCTTGTTGTATGCATGGTATTTTGTCAATATTGTGAAGTTAATTTCATTCATGGTAAAAATCCTTGTTATTTTCCAGAAAAACCAAGGTGAGATAGTGAAAGAGGAAGAGCTGGTTGTTAAAACCCAGTCTAGAAGGACTTAGAAGGTAATCTCTAATTTGTGTTGAGAAAGTATTTGGTTGTTAAAACCCAGTGTAGATAATACATTTGAAGTTGTTGGAATGTACCATTATTGTACTCGGTGGTGTTTATTGATTATCATATTGTTGAAATGATGCCAAGTAATAATAATGGGAAAAGAAATGTATAAATGACCCATTATTGTAGTTCTATGACTAGCTTAGATATGTTGCTTGAATATGTTTCAGTTGTTTATGCATTTTAGGTAATCCATATGAAAATAAATGTACCACCATTATTTGAAAGTGATCGTGTGTTGAGGTATTAGGACAAGCTTAGATCTGTATCTGGAATGAGATCAACTTGTTTATGCAACTGTTTTGTATTGTGTAGGCTTTTAATCTGAATGGTGTAAAGGCATTTGGAAGTTTGGTTAAGAAGTTTGATAAGACGAGGAAGGATTTGGTGACTGAAATGGGGTTTGGTGGGCTGTTAAGCATACCTTTGGATCATTTGCCTCGTAAATTTGCTTATCGACTGTTGTCAAGGATTGATGGAGATGGTTCCATGGTATTTGGAGATGATTATGTATGTCCTCTGTGTCCAGCTCAGGTGGAGTGGGTGCTTGGTATACCCATGGGTTCCAAGCCAGTTCCATCTACCATTCCGGAGGATGATGAAGTGATGAAAGCTGAGTGGAAGCGAATTTCTGGACTGTTTGGCAAGCCTGGGGAGAGCATTCCCGTGGCAGCAGCTGCAGCTGCTGCAATTCGTGCTGACAAAAAAGGGAAGTTGTTACCTATTAAAACAGACAAGGAAAATTCTGAGTTTAAGATTGCATTTCTAATTGTTGCTCTTGGGTACATATTGTGTACCACCACAAACACATCAAATCTGGCAGTAGCTTTGGGACCTGCTCTCACTGCTTACAATGATGCTGCAAACTACAATTGGTGCAGTTTGACTTATTCTTGGATGTGCGCAGCAACTAGGAAATTCCATAAGAAATTTGATTCAAGAGGCTATGTTGCAGGCGGTGGAGGTTGCATATTGTTTGTGTTGGTAAGAAATGTAGTATTGTATCTTATAAATTGTTGTTGAATAATGTTTTAGATTGTTACACGTGAAGGGATTGCTCTTGTTTATGATTAGTTGTTGACATAATCTTTAATGCACATATGTTGTAGATCTTTTATATTGACCATTTGGATCGGGTACCTAAGTCTTGGGGAATGACTCTGAGATTGGCGGCCTGGTCACAGGAAGAAATTGGCGTAATTGTGAAAGAGGACCAAAAGAAGACGGGGGACTATGGTCTGTCGCTGGTAAGTGTTAGAATCATTGTGGTCTTACTTGACAAGTTGACATCATTGTCTATTGTGTAGTTGTGTTTCGTTTGATTAAGTTTGTTTGCTGTGCAGTCCTTGAATATTGCATACGGTGAGGACCATCCGCTGGCACCCCGTGAAGGTCCAGTCCCACGGAAAGTAGCTGCAACTGCACCTGCAACTGCTGTTGATGTGGATGGGATCACTGAGCAGGTCTTTCTCTTTATTTGATTTTTTTTATTATTATTTTTATTTTTGCTTTCTTAAGACCTGGAGTTATTGGTATTGTAATTGATCCTGGCTCTTGATCTGGTTTCCCACTATAGTTTTCTATTAATAGTTTCATTTTACGGTTAAAAAATATTTTCATTCATGGTTGGTTGGATGTCTTTCTTAGTTAATTCTATATTGAATCGCGTTATGTATGCAGGTGGTTTCTAGAGTGGTGGATGATTTGACTCCAAAGTTCATGGATGCAATTGATGCGAAAATGGGTACGATGCTATATAATATGAATGAAATGTTGAAACAGAGTCTGGCCGCGTCGGCCGCGACTGAGCAACCAGTGAAAGGGGATGTTAAGAAAACTTTACCGATGGAAAAACAACCCGTGGTTGATAAAACAGATGGGAATAAGAATGGGAAGAAAAAAAACTGAATTTGTGGTTGATTCCGGTGTGGTGGAGGTGGATAAAACATATGGGAAGGAGAATGATTTGTTTGAAAGCAGTGGCGACGGTGCAGCTGGTAATGATGCAGCTGGTAATGATGGAGCTGATAATGGTGGGAAAACCACTGAGGTTGATGTTCAGAAGGTTGCAGCTGAGTGTCTGAAGGATGCCTTGGTGGGGGTGTTGATGATGAGGATGCAGAGCAGGGTGGTGAAGGGGGTAAAAATTCTGAAGCTGTTGAAGGGGATGATGTCAATGACAATGAGGGAGACACTCCTCGTTCTGAAGATGATGAAGAACAGGAGGATGCAGAGTCTCCCCAAGCAGGAGGAGAGTTTGTTCTGAAAACGGTCGAGTCAAGGGAGACGACTGTGTTGGTGGCTGCCGGTTGTAGTGAGACAGACTCTGAAGGTGAAGAGATGTCTCCGTCCAATGGCAATGAACATTCAGGAACTGCAGACAAGAGGGTTATAAAACCTACTGCTATAGCAGGAACTGCAGACACCCGTAGGCACACGACGCTGGAGGCAAGGATGATGTTGTACGTGCGGCAATGGAAGGAGTTGAAAGACCCTACTTGGTATGTGTTGCTTCTCTCTGTGTAATGAAGTTATAATTTTTGCCATTTATAATCACTTAACTGGTCTGCAAAACATTTATGTTTTTGTATGTGTGTGTATTCCGGTGTCGTCCTCATACCCTGTGATGCAATGCAAAACTAATGACTTGGTTGATAACCTAGATTCAATGATTCCCGCAGTTAGAAAGACACTAAGGGGGAAATAGGTGGAGTACGGGGATGGAATCATCATTGAGGCATATTCTGGTTGTTTGATGATATGCTTATTTTGAACAATATTTTAGGTGATCACTGGTTTTTGAACAATATTGATTATGCATTCAACTAACAAACTCATAATTCTAGATAGCCTTGGTTATATTTAGCCTTTGAATCTGTTTATGAATAGACTTTGTCAGTGGTACATTTTGGGGGTCTTGTTTGTACCATTGATGGTATTACGCCAAGTTATTGTAGTTACTTAGTAGTTAGTGGGACATATTTGTACCTATTTTAGACAGTGGTACAATATTTTGACGTGTACAT